AAATACTGAATTGGGAGATTTGGGAGTAAAGTTAGATGCTGATTTGTCATTTCATGAACACTTTAATAATATCATTAATTAAGTCCAATCAGATGCTTGATTTTATCTAAACCTAAAAAGATTTCAAGAACATGTTTACAATTAAAAAACTTTATGAATGAGTGGTAAGATGTCATAAGGATGTTAAATTTAATCTCTCTGAACAGCAAATTTACCTCTCATTTGAAAATGTTACTTTGTACCTTGATTTAATTTCCATGTCCGATAGAAGAACTTTTTTTGATCTGTGATTATTTTTTGAGATTATTAATGGTTTTGTTTCTGCTCCTAATTTGTTATCTAAAATAAATTTTTATATTCCCTATAATAATTAAAAAAATAATAATAATTTTTTTTATTAAAATACTGTTTTTGCTCTAACGCAAATGACAATTTATTAGGTGATACCCTGTATAAAATAGTCGACATTTTTGAACTATAAAATGATATAAGAACAGAACCGAGTTAAAAACGCTTTTATATTATAATTGTGTTATTGTAGACTAGAATCTAGAAAGTGATCCATGGAGTAAAAATTAAAGACAATTTAAAGTTCCAAGTAAATAAACTAAAGAGATTGACTGGATATACGCCAAGGAGCTGTACAAACTTGAGGCAATAAATTACTTCAAACTTCACCTACACAATACAGATAGAGAAAAATCTTTGTTAACTTTAGCTATTCGGAATTCGTTTAAAAATTTTAACATGTAATTATTGGAATGTGTATGGCAATCAAATATGCAAATGTCGCTAATTACGTCGATTTGGATTGAAAAATGGTGTTCAATTATGATAATGTAATTGATTACCTTTTAAGTAATAAATAAAGTTTTTTCGGGCATTTTGTGCCAACTTTTTGGTGAACCAAATGAGAATGGAAGCGAGACCAATTACATATCAATTAAGGTAATAAGATTTATTATTCGACTTTTAAATGTTGTATAATACCTAACTAAAAACTATTATATTTTATGTATATTTAGAATTTTTCTAAATTACTTTTTTAATGGGACGGCATATGGCTTTCAACCCTCAATTAGTCTTGGGAGGTAAACTTTTTGTGTGTTTTAATAATTTGGTGGTTTTTTCTATTTGTTTTTGAGGTTTTACTATTTGTTTTGTGGTTTTAAACTTCCACCCTTTAGGATGTGGATTTCCGCAATTTTAGGGGTGTGATGCAAAATTCAATCATGATGGCGCCAAAATCAATTACAAAAGTAATAAACACTTGACATAGGAGAGCCACCCATGCATAAAGGATATATAAATTTAGATAAAAAAAACAATTTTTATTGGTATACAGAGTAATAAAATATTTGTAATTTTAACCAAATGTTAAACATACTATGTTAATCCAGGTCCACATAACTTTATGTTAAGTTAACAACCAACTGTAATCTGTTAACTAATTGAATTTTAATTATAACAAATATTTTGTAGATTTAAAAACAAAATCCTATATCAATAATTCAACCATAATTCTTAAAATTTTAGACTCAGTAACAAAAGTATTTGTTGGAAATTGGGAACTTAGGTGAAAAGAATTTTCATAAGAAATGTTGCTTTACTAATTAATTTCCTAAACAAAAAAAATTAACACATAAATGAATACAAAAATAAGTTGCAGACGCTGAAGACAGTTGAACTTGTTGATGCGTATTGTCAGTGGGAAATGTTTTGATTAGCTGGCCATACACAGACGTTATTTCGCGCGGTTTATCGTGGCGTGTTGGCATGTAGCGGTTTGCATGCACGAAAGAACGGCGTGGCAAAAAAAGCGTCATGTTCCATACACTTGATAAAGTATTCAAATGATTTAGCAAGTGATTGCCCGTGGTATATCAGTTTCAAAGGAAAAATCGTATGTGAGTGGGCAAAAAGTGTCATTTATCGAGTTGTTTGAAACTACATGTGCTCATGTACAAATTTTCAACGTGAAATTTTGCCAAGCAAAGGTAAACCGTGACGCGGAATGTGGCGTGTGGACACGCCACACTCCAGCACGGTTAATTTTATAGACGATTTCAGAAAAAAAATATATAATCATCGAAAATTGTGTTTTTGGGTTTGTCCGACTCCCAAGTAACAGGAAACATGAAAATTAAAATCCTTCATGTAGGGCATTTTAGATAGTGGCCCAAAAATATGTCAAAAGTTTGTAATTTTTTCTAAACACTAAAAATATTAAATTAAAAAAAACTTTTTTTAAGGATAATCTCGAGGATAATAGAGCGTTTAATTTTAAGTTAAAAGCGTCTCAAAAAGTTTTTTGTAGATCCTATAGTTTTGTTCTAAAAAAATCTTACTTACACTCACAGGCAAAATAATCGATTCACACAAATTTTCGATGAATTTCAATCGCAAATAACTTTTTTATTTGATTTCGGATTTAAACGAATATTAAACAATATTGTGGATAAATTAATGGAGAATCGCTTACATTTTAAAAAATTACTAAAAATAGACGAATAATATACAGGTTTAAACAAAAAGATGTTTTTTACCATAAGTTTAAGACACTCTGTAAAGTGGCAAAACAACATTGCATTTTCCAATATTTTTTTGTTCGAAGAACTAAGGTTGCTATGGTCCACCCATAGCCTATGGAGGATGACAGTGATTGTTTTGTTGAATCATCCCATACTTGGACATTTTTTTGTAAATTAATGTGTTACTTTTGAGGTGTTTTCTTACTTTTAAAAATGGATATGTCCTCGACTGATGTATCCAGAGCAATTGCTTTAATCCAGGATGGATGGTCTCAGTATTACCTGGATTGTACTTGGTTTTGGGTCAGTTCAATGTCCCTCAAAAACCAAAATATTTTCCCTCCTTTTCCGCACTTCACTAGCGGACTAGGCGAAAAAATTCTTTAAGAGGCCTTAACCATCGACACTGTCATTTACGGCCTTCTAGGCGAGATTTACCAGCCGGGGTAAAAATTCGGTTCCACCAAACACAGGCAATGCTGTGCAGTGGCGGGATACGTGGGAGAACTAAAAGGGGGTAAAATAACCCTGGGAAATCAGTATAAGGCGTTGGCGATGGGGCCAGTCATACGTTCGTCATATTCGTATTCAACAATAAAATAATAAAAAAATTATGACACTGTTGTCGCCCATGTGCGATATATATATTCGTCTTTAATGTATTAAAGTTTATACATATGGTTTTAGGAAACAAATACCTCAATTTGTTTAAGTATTTTGACGAAGTAGTTTCCAGTTGCTTTGGGAAATCTCTAAGTATAAGTTATGCCAAAAATATTCAACGTTTCGCAGTAGAACTATCTAAAATCGGAGTACGGTACACAACAAAAATGCATGCCCTAGTTCATCATGTTCCAGAGTTCATTGAAAAATATCAACGAGCACTTGCCTTTTTTCTGAACAAGCGTCAGAATAAGTGCATCACTATTTTAACGTTTTCAAAAAATTTTAATTTAAATTCAAGGAATTTGCAATTTTTAAAGAAAAACTGTTAAGGAGTATTTGTTATTATAATAGCCAGCACATATAATTACATGTATTTATTTGGACATTAAAACTTATTAAGTTAATTGAATATGATTAATATGTATTATTTTGTGAAGTAAAAAAAATCAGAAATTTTTTATAACAAAACTATAGCGTCTACAGAAAACTTTATAAGACGTTTTTTACTTAAAATTAAACGCTTTATTATCCTCAAAGGAAGTTTTTTTTAAAATGTAAAATTTTTAGTTTTTACAAAAAATTTAAAAATTTTGACATATTTTTGGGCCACTATATAGAATGCCATACATGAAGGATTTTATTTCTCATGTTTCCTGTTACTTAGAAGTCGGATAAACCCGAAAACAATAGTTTCGATGATTATATATTTTTTTTCTGAAATCGTCTATAAAATTAACCGTGCCAGAGAAAAGCACGTCTGAAATCCCTTCCCGTTCTATCATTGCGCGCGGCGATACTCACTCACGTACATGATTTTCCATATGTTTTTGCAGATAACACGATAAACCGCGCGCAATAACGTCTGTGTATGGCCGGCTATTGACTGCCTGAAATCACGTGTACTTTTTCAAAGAAATAATTTCTTAAAAATTAACAAAATAATCTGTTACCTTTGAAATTAAAAAAAATGCTTCAAAAGTTGCATATTACCTTTACAAAACTTTCGGTAAAATATTTTTCTTTGTTAAAATAATTTTACAAAATAAAACTGACAAAACTACAAAATCTGATTTCTATAACAGTGTAATAGCTTCAAAAATCACGTTGATTGATACATCAACATTCAATTAACAGCATCTTACCAAACACTAATAGCCCATACCAGTGCTCGAGTATAAAAAGTGGTCACATATGCGACTTGGTAGGATACCTACCTATAAAAACAGGTTTCGGCTTTTAATAATTAACAACCACAATAATTTACTGTTTGACAAGGCTCGCGTGCTAAACGTTGACCATAATGAGTTTGTGAGTTAAAAATAAACACTCTTACATAACTGAATTTATTTATACCAATAGATAGGTGACGAACAAGTTTTTTCATTCCATCTTTCTTTCTAAGCTGGAGATATGAATCTCAACACATGACTGACAGGTGATACATGATTGATATAACTCATTTAAACAGATCTAGTTTCTGTCAACCGAACAACCGACGCGTTTTTTAATACTTAATCCACAACATTATAATCACATAAATTTGTTGTCTCGCCATGTGAGGTTTCCGTTAAAAAATTGGCGCCCATTAAATAATCCTATTCGCCGGGTGTGAAGAAAAAACAGTAGTATTAGTAGCGCGTGCTCAGCTTACAGCTGACAAAAGACCCTACGCCTACCTGCTTTTAATCGCCACTTTCACCGCCTCTCTAGACTCCTAAACCGATCTGTAGACACCTTAAAAACCCATTTGAATATTTATGAATTGCTTTTATGGCTTATTTTTGCTAATTTCTTTCGTTTCAGGGCAGTTCACCATTGAGGGTACCATGATAACAATGGAGTGTCAGCCAGGGGGTCATGGGGGTCACCTGGGGCACTCCATGATGTTAGACCCCTCAGGAGGAGGCATGCACCAGCAAGACCAGGACCACAAAAAGAAGAGTAAGTTTTTTTTACTAAAATCTTCTCCTTTTAGTTTGAAAGTTGTTAAGTTAAGAAATCCAATATTTTCTTCTTTCATTTTTCATCTTCAATTTTCATTTCACAAGCGTTTGATCTTCAAAAAATGAAACCATGCACAAGCAAAGTAATTTGTTGTCAAAATCAATATAAATACATGAATCTTCTTTACATATTGTGTTGAAAATACGGATAATAACAAATACACATTCAAACAAAATTGAAACAAATTTATTACTATAACAACAATTACAAAAAAAATATTTCTCCAAATTGGAGAAATATTTTTGCTAATTTTGCTAATTGTAGCATCTTATAAGGCTATAATTTGTACATTACTTATAAAATGTTGTTGCATTTACAGTTAAACTTATAAATCCGTCAATTATGGCTTGTTTACAACTAGGGTAAATAGTTCTTACCTGTACCTACACTCAACCCCAGATAAATATTTAGGCACCCAACTAATAGGTCAATTCTGGGTTCTCTCGTAAAATTTCTGTGAATTCGTAAATCTGTAATATAACTTACGATGATCTGTAACTATAATACTTATAGAATCGTAAAAGTGGCAATTCTGGGATGTTATCTGTAAAAGTCTAATTTAAAGTACTACTGCAACTTCACGCCTATTTACTTACAATCAAACATAACCTATATTTTTATATGTATTATTTGGTTTATCCACAGTTTATCGGTTTTCATTTATGTATCAGCATATAATATAATACAAAAAGTAAGAAATTTAAACTGGTTGAGGAATAAAATGAGGTAAGATAATTTTACATTTAAAAGAACATATAATATAAAATGAATAAAATTGTAAGTGCGTTGAGTGAAGAAGTCAATCAATGGTTAGTGGTAACGCAAAAGCAACAAAGAGAAAAAGATAAAAAAACACCACTCCTCAACAGTTGAACTATATTTGGATGCAATGGATGGAGATTATCCATTGGGACAACCATGGCAGGATAAATTTGAACAAGGAGCAGAAAATCAAAAAAAAACATTTTGAGCTTATTAAAAAATATTTAGAAAATTATATAAATATATATATTTTGATATTTGACCTATTAATTTTTGACTAATTAGAATATTTATTTATTTTGTTGTTTATTTCTTTTTTGACCGAGTAGGCTGTGGTTTATTTTTTTTAAGAATATAATTTTATTTTATTTTCATATATTAAATAAAAATATAAAGTTTTTGTATTAATACAATTATTGTTTTATTTAGTCAAAATTGAAATTATTTCTAATGTAGTTGGCCCAGGCTGCTTGTCCCAATTGATAAATATTACCATTATCATATCCACATTGACATTATTAAAAGTATTCATGTTTTTTTTCAGTTTGTTTTTGTTAGGTTATGTAAAGCTATTTTAAAGAGCTTTACATAACCTAACAAAAACAAACTGTAACTAGCAACGATTGGGAAACACCCGATCGTAAATATTTACGATTCTATAAGATTTTCTGTAAGCTACAGGAAGCGCAGAATTGCAAATTGTCTATAAGCTTATAGAAAGTTACAGATTTGCTTATAGATGCTTACAGATGTGCGCAGAATTGACCTATAACCCACTTGCACCCATTTTTCACATAACTTGCCAAAAATACACAAACTTGGGTTGTAGTATTACACTCGTAGTATTGTTGTGTTCTTCATCACAGACTAAATGCATTGTAGCAACAGTTGCTACAATTTGTTTATTTCTTGTTTTAAACAAACAATCCGAATCTTTACAATGGGGTTAATTTAAAACTATTTCTTTTCGTGGTAAAGATCGTTTTTTCAGAAGGGATCCTAGATACCCATTATCTTTATCAGGATATCTCCAATCTTCTTTGAATGGTTAAATACTGAAGATTAGACTCAATTGTGATATTGACATTGAATTGAGTTGAAACCGGCTCGATAGCTGGAGCATAAGAATGGTCGGTGTTTTCCTTAAAGACCGCATTGGCACGTCTTACAAGCGATTACACTGCCCCACAGGTCTCCATATTAAATCTGAGAGCGATCAGATGCGCGCACGCGTGTCTTGCGCGTGGATTAACTGAATTTCGTCATCGATTTGGTTGGTCGACTGGGGTCGGGTTTTCGGTACCGTGTTTCTTTTGAAATACGACACTACCGATTAGGTAATGGGTTCGATTTTTAAATTGCCGTCGTCTTGCCTTTAAGGTTCTCGCTCAGCCGCCTTGTAAGGGTATCGGAGTGTAGGTGTAGGTTGTGTTCAATTTTATGATACATTGGGTTCGGTAAACGATACCATGCGATAGGAATACCCATCGATTTTTTACGTGATGCTTTATAGGTAATTAATACAATATGGCAGTTCAGTAGGATCGTTTATACAGTGACGGGTGGAACTATGACTGTACCAATCAAACAGAAGGTTGCTTCGTCAGAAAAAAGTATTTTACAAGGAAAGTGTTGATTATTGTTAGATAAATTCATCATAGTTTCACAAAATTGAAGTCTACGGACGGATCATCTTCGTTAAGTTCCTGCACTCGTCTAATTTTAAATGGATGGTACTTTTCCTTCTTCATAAGACGTAATACTGAGCGTGGGCTTACTTGACTTTCAGCTGCGACTAGGCTATAAGCACTTCCACACGTAACAAAATGTCAATTTGAGTGTCTTCACTAATACTCGGACAGCCAAGTTTTGGAATATCTTTGACATGTCCAGTCTCTCTGAATTTCCGTTCAATTTTACTAACCGTAGCACGAGTAATAGGTCAAATATTGCAAACTTCTTGTTTTTTTCTGTCAGTTTTATTGCCACATCCTATGAGAATTAAAACTTGAATTCTCTGTGTTTCCGTTAAATGGCCCATATTTAAATGTTTCGTAATATTTGGAGAACGCTTTAGAGACAGATACTTCACTCAAGGCTCAACTAAAATTTTTTTCCATAAATCGACACTTGCTTTTTGTAGATTGTAATTTTATCAAAAACTATAAGTGTTCCACTTTTAAGAATTAATATCTCCGAAACTATAAGCCCAAAAGGTATAAATGTGCAAATTAATAAAATCTCAAATCCATAATCTATTCAGTTATTCACTCATTATTCCACTGTACAGATGAATCTCTTATTTCCAAAATTAGGATCTAAAAACTTTAAATTCCTCTAGGAGAAATCGAGATGGTTTTTTCCTAGAAAAGTTATGTAACGCTGTATATGGTAGCGTGTCAGAAACACTTCAGCCAGCGTTTTGCAGGTTTAATTTGAAGAGTCCGGTGCATCAGATAAGCAAGAGCACGAGCTCGGCATGACGATGCTGTACCGTCCTGTGTTGCTTTCAAGCTCAACTACAGCGTATGCTTCTTATTCGTCTTTTACTTTATTTTTACTTAGGAGAATGTATGCGTTTTATTATTTATGTTGGGTCGAGTTCATGTATCTATGACAACGGTGACATATTTTAAATATGGCAAATACATTTTCACAAAAGATCGCCTCAATGTCTAATAAATAGAAATAGAAATACTACTTTGTTTTCATGTTATGGTAAATGTTGGACCTAATAATCAAATATTGACTAAAGCCAAATATGTACCATTAATTTTGTTGATAATCCTATCATCGAACATGATACGTTTATTGGGAAAATTTTTCGTACGAAACGTTAACAATTTTACTAAATCAATGTATAGTGTTTTCAGATGGTGGATCTCATGTGGGCTCATCATCAAGTGACGGTAAGTTAAACATTTTCATATAAAATACCTATCCTAAGTAACACCTTAGGTTTTATTGTTGCTGTAACAGCACCTTTAATGCGACTTTTTTGGAACCAAAAAGGGGAATCCTTTTATTGCCTTCAAGACATATAATTGCTTTAATAAGGTTTTCACAGCTTTCATAAATCCCCTCTGACACCTGCATAAAGCTAAATGGTAGTTAAGTAAGCTTTATGCTGTCCTTAGACGAAGAGGTCGATAAAGCTAGTTGGCATGATAACTCCTGTTTGGATTTTTTTTCGTGAAGCCTACATTTTTACAAAAAACAGATAATGTTGATAAAAATATATATATACATAAAAAAATGGCGAAGTTATGAATTTTCTAGTGGAAGACCAAAATTCAGCTTTTTGAAGATTTTTATTTTATTTTTTTCTTTTATTTCGTAATATGTTTATTTTTTAATGAAAACCTAATAAAAGTGCATGATTAGAATTTTTTAAGTTTTTTACGTACTTTTTTTACCGAAAACATTATATAAAATTTAAATTTGACATGACTTCGCAAACGTGAATTCTTTTGTTTCTCGTGTTGGCATAGTGACATTTTACTGCTATTTTTTGATATTTCAACAAGGTATTTTTATCATGGTTTTATTTAGTTAATAAAAAGTGTCAAAGGAGTAAAAGAAGTATACTCTATAGAGAGAGAGTTCGAGTGCGTAAATAACCCGGACAATCTGGGCGACGTTAGTGATGAGCACGGAGAACGTTTTCACCAGCAAATGAAGGCTATGGAGCGGCGGTATCACGGCTTCTGGGATGCAGCCATGATGGGTGATTACATTTGGTCCATTATACGAGAAACGGAATACGAAAGCAACAAAAAACAAAAAAGGAGCCATGCTTATTACAACAAAATACAACATTCAATATCTTTAATGTTCAATATTTATTATATATAATTATATATTAATGTTTAAAATAAAAATCAATCTTCAATATTAAACTAAATATAACTCAATAAAATGAAAAAAACGTAAAAATTCTCGAAAAAACTGAATTTTGGTCTTTCACTGAAAAATTCATAACTTTGCCATTTATCCATGGATTTTTATCAACAGCAGCTTATTTTTTCCTTTAAGTATAATCTATACGTAAAATAAATCAAACTGGACTTATCTTTTCGATTTCTATCTTTCCCAGAAAGATATGTAATTTATTGACCTCGATTTTTGTAAAAAAAGAGGACTTTTTCAACTTCATAAAATCGCCAGTATCGAAC